CTTACACAGCTTGTTAATAATATATTTTCTTGTAGTCAGAATCATTCTTAATGCTTTAGCTTCCTCAAATAGAATGTAAAGTAAGTGCTGATAAATTTAATAGGTCATTGAGGTAAGATATATTTCTTTCATTTGCTGGATTATTCTTATAATGGCATTAAGTTTAAAGCAAACTCATGTGATCATATGCCATCTTTCAGTAGTTTATCCATTTTGTTTTCTGTATTTTTCTAGTCTGCTCCCAGTTTTCAAGAGGAGTCTATGCTATTTTCGGATTTTATGACAAGAAGTCTGTAAATACCATCACGTCATTCTGTGGAACGCTCCATGTCTCCTTCATCACCCCCAGCTTTCCAACAGATGGTACACATCCATTTGTCATTCAAATGAGACCTGACCTCAAAGGAGCACTTCTCAGCCTGATTGAATACTATCAATGGGACAAGTTTGCATACCTCTATGACAGTGACAGAGGTAAGTGACAAATTTTGCAATGGTTCAAATTCAGTGTCTACACTTGACATTTATACGTGACATGATAAAGTTATATGGGTTCTGGGTTGTTAGATTATATTACTGAATTAATGACTTTGATGCCTTAGCGTGAATACACACACTCAAAGCTACCTCTGTGGTACACCTGAATGAACTGGTAGTCTTCAGCACTGTGGTACAATATTCTTGCATAGAACATTTCAGGGATCAGACTTGGGCAATGTAGTGCTTATTTCTCTGGGAGTTATAATCAGATTTGTGTTTCAAAAAATTATTCTGGTTGTATTGTAGAGAACTGAATGGAAGGGAAGACAGGAGAGTTGGTATTTCAAAAGCCAAGTGATCAAAGCAATATTATCCATAAGTTAAGAGCATGAACTCTGAACTTTGACTACTTTGTTTTAAATGACCTATATCTATGTCTTAATGTGTGACCTTTGGAAAGTCACTAAATCTCCCTATATTTCTGCCCATAATTTTGGAATAAAAATACAACTAGGATTATTTTGAAAAATAAGCAACTTAACATACCTTAGTACAACCCAGTACAAGGCAAACACAATGTAAGTATATGTTTGTAGAAAAGAGGGATGGCTGGCAGTGGAGATAAAAATAAGGTACACATTGAGTACATTTGGATATTTGAATGCACATGAACTTATGAATCTGTCTGTGGGGAGGAGAGGGGGCATGCCATGTGTTCTTCACAAAACGCAAGAGCTGATAGTGGACAGGTATTGTGAGAATGGTGGAACTTTCATGTAAAAATATTCATTTCAATGATGTCATAAGCCAAAATATTTGGTAATATTCATTGTTTTGTACAGAGTAAAAATATATGATAACTTAAGTCCAGGGAAAAGATTAAAGTTAGGAGTTCTGAACTTCATTTAATTGCTGCTTGACTGATCACACAAGGTAAGAGATATTGCTTCAAGGATGATGCGAGTCTTATAGCCACATTTTCTGAAAAAGGCGTTGATCAACATTTGGACTCTTCTTAAAACCACTGGTCCTGATCTGTTAGTAGTAAAGCATCACTAACACAGTAAAGCCTTTTAAGAGAGTCTGATATTATGGGAAATGGACTGCTGTGGATGTGAATAAATCCCTGGTCATTGTAGTTTTTTCTACTTATAACTAATGATTTTTCTTTGTACTCATTTTTATGGAGCTGGCCTAAAATATGCTTAAACTTACACAGCTTGGCCCTCCCTGGTGGCTCAGCGGGTTAAAGCACTGCACTAAGAAACTTAAGCCGCTTCCGTATGAGTTCGATCCCCGCCTGCCTCAGAGGTGACCACATGACGCAGCAGACCTCTCTTGACCCGCCTGCTGCTCCCCTCAGCAGTGTACTTCGTCGATCTGCTCCCCACTCTATCCCTGGTGAATTCTCTCACCTTCCGCATCTCTGGCCTGTACCCCAGTTCTGTATGAGTAAATAAATAAACCTTAAAAAAAAAAACTTACACAGCTTGTTAATAATATATTTTCTTGTAGTCAGAATCATTCTTAATGCTTTAGCTTCCTCAAATAGAATGTAAAGTAAGTGCTGATAAATTTAATAGGTCATTGAGGTAAGATATATTTCTTTCATTTGCTGGATTATTCTTATAATGGCATTAAGTTTAAAGCAAACTCATGTGATCATATGCCATCTTTCAGTAGTTTATCCATTTTGTTTTCTGTATTTTTCTAGTCTGCTCCCAGTTTTCAAGAGGAGTCTATGCTATTTTCGGATTTTATGACAAGAAGTCTGTAAATACCATCACGTCATTCTGTGGAACGCTCCATGTCTCCTTCATCACCCCCAGCTTTCCAACAGATGGTACACATCCATTTGTCATTCAAATGAGACCTGACCTCAAAGGAGCACTTCTCAGCCTGATTGAATACTATCAATGGGACAAGTTTGCATACCTCTATGACAGTGACAGAGGTAAGTGACAAATTTTGCAATGGTTCAAATTCAGTGTCTACACTTGACATTTATACGTGACATGATAAAGTTATATGGGTGCATTAAAATTGAGCGGTCACTTGGTTTAATTTTGCTATGTACGTGAATAATGCTGTTCAAAACCTAAGAAGCAGATTAGAGTAAAACAAAAAGAAGTCACAGATACACAATTTGCAGATTCAGACTGTGTCAATTTGACGCCCAAGTGTTACTTGATGTAAAAAGCACTTCTGTCTCAGCAGCTAAGACCCTATGTTAATTGGCTGACTGATTCCAAGGTCAGTGAAGTGGCTGCCTTGAAAATTATGTTAAGTATGATTCACATAAATATAAAGATAAGAACTTTGATAGGAATTTATAGTTATTAAATATTTTTACATGTCAACATTTATTTATTATATTGTAGTAACATGGATTTATGACACTTTATATTTCAGACCTCTCCAGATGTCTCTCATCCCCCAACCAAAGCACTGATAATCCTCTACCATAGTGCCTCTTGTCTGATGAGGCAGGTGGCATTATTAGGAACCCTGATTTCAAATGCAACCCCTGAAACTCAGGAGAGTTAACTGGCTTGCCCAAGCATGAGGCACCCACGTGTGACACAGTAGAATGGAGATCATTTGACCCAACCCAGGCTTTTTGCACAATTCTGTGTCATTATCTATCATGAGATGTTTATGATTCCCATGACACTTGGATAGAGTCACAACTCATTATAATTAAAATTAAGGAGATTTTGTTGTTGTTTACAGAAATGTTTATATCTTGGGTGTTTTTGGAATTCCTTGCTGTGAAGTTTAGGATTAGCAAACATGTCTGACTTGCATACCAGAGCATCACAGATGTTCTTAACCATCTCTAAGTCTATGATTTGGCTTCAATGGGTGTGCATATACACTAAAACATATACACTTTGTGTATATGTTCACGAATGTATTTTTTTTTTTGAGAGAGAGGATTCTTTCTCAAACTGAAGAAGGTAACCACTCTTACAAGAGTGCTTACACACCAAACTTTCTTTAATAGATATGTCTCTAGGAATACTGAAAGTTTCAAATGAAAACCAAACACCTGTATGGACCAAGATAGGGTGCCTTATTAAGCCACCACCCACAGACAAGCGGGGCAGCCCTCAATCAGCTCTCTGGTGATCAACTTGCTGTCTACTTGCCTCAGCAACCCTGAGTTGGAGGTGCTCAAGCAAGGTGTGGGCCTCTCTGCTCTCTCTTCCTATCCCAGAACAAGAACACTCAATGGAAAAGTCAGTCAGCAGTATGAAAACTGAAAAAAAAAAAAAAATTGTTATGTCAACAACTTTCCTCTGCTTTCCCTGCTTTGCTGTCCCTCTGGGGAATGAAGACCTAAAGCACAGGGCCATTTAGACTGAAAATGGAGTCCTGTGTGCTGTTGCTTCTGAAATATATTTCTCAAAAGTTTGGGAGAAAAAGAGAGCCTATACAGAAGAGTTTTATAGTCCTTCCTCCTAGCTACCTCCTTCAAAACTCTGTTACATTAAAACTGGAAAGAAATCTAGTATTCTAAATACCTCTTTCACCCTTGCATCTTCCTGATGTGATTCTATTTCCTAAATAACTATTTTTTTTTTCAGACACTCTTCTGTCTCGATGCCGTCTCTCTAGACTGAGGCATACCCGCATCTCACCATGTAGCCAAAATTTTAAAATACATTTAAATGCTTTTCAGATCACATTACTCCCTGTTTCAAATTCTCACTGACATTTCTTGACTTTAAGGTCTTCTGGGGCCTGGTTCCTGCTGTGTATACCTCTGCCCTGCTCACTCACTGTGTTAGATCTACCTCACTAATCTTTAGTATTCTCAGGTGCAGTAAATCAGACTCTTTCACCCCAAATCCTGGCATCTGGCTTTCTTTCCATTTTTCCTCCTAAACATCTCAGATGTTAGAGCCTTTCCACAGAGGAGCATTTCTTCCTATTCTTCTCTTTCAAAACAATCTCTTCTCTTTCTGTTACTTAACACAACTTATAAATAAGAATGGTGGTCATGGGACCTCCCTGGTGGTGCAGCAGGTTAAAGCACAGCACTAAGAAGCTAAAGGCATTTTTGCATGAGTTCAATCCCCGCCTACCCAGAAGGTGATCCACATGGCGCATCAAACCTCTCCTGACCTGCCTGCTGCTCCCCTCAGCAGTGAACTTCAATGATCTGCCTGTTCTGCTCCCCACTCTGTCTCTGGTGAATCCTCTCACCGCCCCTACACCTCTGGTCTATACCACAGTTCTGTATGCATAAATAAATAAATCTTAAAAAAAATGGTGATCATTCTTTCACTCAAGAGCTGCTATTGAGTGAATCAACTGTATTCCAGGGACCTTCTTAGCCATTTAGAATAGAGTTATGCTTTTTTATTTACGATCTGGATGTAAACCCTGAGATGATATCAAAGCAGTGCCCAGAACATTGAGTGGACAGTTAAGGCCTATAAACAGAGAGCTTAAGTTAATGTTGGGACAGTATTGACTGTCCCAACTGTTACTAAGTAAGATAAACATTTTTGTAGTTTAAGTTGAAGTATTAGAATCTGAATTTTCCTTATTAAGTTGAAGAATGGAAGGAAAATTCTCTTCACTGTCTGACAAGTTTGAAAGTGATATTTTTGGTTTAGAGACACACTTCACCTTCACTGTGACTTCCTGAAATTGAAACTGAATGTCTGAGGAAATTCAAATAGAGAGAAATGCGAGCAGTTGAGAAATACTGAAGAAAGACAAGCTTTGTGACATAAATGATCATGCGAAGTTGGAGGAACTTTTGTGCTTGTGAAAGGGAACTGATCCTTTTTAAATGATTTTATTAATACTTTAGAAATATAAATGGAAACTGAAGTGATGAGATAATTCCTGGGCTTTAAATTATACATACTGATTTGCGTTCAAGTACATTTGTTGAGAGAAGAACATTAGAGTGATAATATAACTATATATTAAAGCCAAACATGACCTGATGTATCCATCAAGGTACTATTAAATTA